AGGTAGCGTTTATGAATTTCCAAAAAAAAATTTTTTTAACCACTCTAATGTATATGTATGCGCATTATTCTCTTCTTGTAGGAATAACCATATGTACATGGAAACATACATACATATACTCTAGGGCTGGGAGTTCTATCCGGATATTTGAGTATCTGATTCAAAATCCAAATTATCTAAATTAACGGTTAGAGAGCACGCATTATGCCTGTGAAGATGCTGAGAATAGAACAGGAAAACTTTACAGCCCTGTCGCAGGGCAGAACAAATGCAACATTATATCGAGAAAAGAAAACGCTTTAAACAAAATTGATTAATTTTTTCCTGCCTGGTAAAATCTTAAATTTTTCTTAATTTTGCAAATTTTTTTTTGTTAAAATATTCAAAAAGGATAATTTTCCTCAAAAATGCATAGTGAGAAGAGTTACCATTTCAATCAATTTTTCAAATTTGTTTTAGGAAGACTTTCATCCAGATCACGTATAAGGTTCCAGGAAATGTTGCTCTATTTCAAACCTCCGAGTGTCCTTCTGCCATGAAATCGCTTCTCATAAAAAACCATTAGCCGAAAAAACTAGCGAAAGGGCAGTTAACTATTATAGGAGTATGTATTGAAAGCCTGAAAGAATGGGTAATAAGTTTTCAAATTAAGCAACTGTTGAATATAACTGTTAGACTATAAAATCCTTACTTTTGACTACTTTGGTTTTACTAAGTCCCGTTAAATAAGTTGCTTAATTTTAACGGGCTTTGTTAAATTTTTTGAAAGCTTTTGGTAAATTTTATTTTTTCGGGCGCGGCAACACTGTTTGTGAGCAATTGAAAAAAAAACTTTCTGATCTCAACCTACTTAATCATATTGGGAAGGGAGGTTCCCTATGGTCTTACGACAACGATTTGTAAAATCTGTGAACTTTTTAAATGCATAATCTCAAAATGTACATAAAATAAATTACATGTGTGTGGGTAGGTAGACACTAAATGAACTCTGGCTTTTCCACAGGCAAAGGGAATACTACGAAAAGTGCCGAATTCAATTTTATGCTGGACCCAGAAGCTGCGCACNTCTCTGATGATTTATTATTATTATTCCGGATATTAATCTAAACTCCTAAATGCCTCGTTACCGAGTCAACCCCTTAAATAAACTGGTTTTCCATACAAAATTGAGTAAGTTTACGAGGTTACGAGGCACTTACGCGTTTGGATGAATTCCCCTATAATTTTATTTTATTTCAATTCATTTTATTTGTTCCTATCTTATATTATAACATTTTCTTTTATTTTATTTTACGCCTTGGTTTTTTTTTTGTTTCAACAGGATTGGCGCCTCAACGTTCTTGGAACAATAGAAAGTCCCTTCGTCGAATTATTAAATCGCGTGGAACGCGCTTTGCTCATACCGAGAGGCGTCAAACGTTGGCTGGTTTGTGATGCATTGGCCGTCGCCGCTTATCTATTCCCTCATTTGGTGGTGACTGCTACTCAGCTGCATCATGCAGACGTGGAACTTGCTGGCGTGCATACACGT